TGTTGCGTTTCTTACCGGCTATCAAATTTTCGTTGTACCTTTCACGTTTGTACTAAATAATGAAAATAAGGGTTACCAAATTGTTTCAAATTTTTAGAACAATTTTAAATTTCAAAGCTGACGAAAAATTGTGTTCAATATTTCAATTATTTTTATGATTTGTTATATCATATATACATAATATATGATATAAATGTAGAATTCATAAAAAATATCTGATAAATTGTATGGTGCTCGTATTTAATTATCACATATTGTCAACTTTTGCCAACATGTGCCTAGTGTTGTACTATGTGGCATTTTAAATTATGTATTTATTATATTTTCTTTGTAATATATTAATAACATATGTAGCATACATTTAGTTTTAGTATTGCATGTGCACGTATATTTTCGATATATGTATATGCAGTATATTAAATTAACTGTATACGATCTGATGCTATATCGTATACATGCTATATCGTTGTAAAACTCAAGTAAAGTATAAACTGAGAGCATAACACAAATAAAGAACCAAATTACTCTCTTTACACAGATTTTCGTTTAACAGCTTTGGGTAAAGACTGGTAAGAAGACTAGTGCCGCGCATATAATTAATACAAAAATTTAAATTCAAATTTTAAACACAAATTTTCTTGATATAAATTGTACGAGTAAAGTCTGTGTGGCATTTTCAAATTTCAATAGCGATGTTACGCTCTTTCAGATGCTCTCATTTACTCGAAAATTTGCTGGTGGAACTCGCTTGTGTATACACAGTGTTACTCAAAGTTACTACGAGTAGCTCGTGGAACAGACCTAATATTAATTAGATTCATTTTATATGTACTTACCAAAAACATTTTTTATTATATAATATTCAAGTGAATAATATCTTTTCTTTTCTAATATATTTCTTTATCAATATATTCAACGAATTTGGTACTCAGTATATTGCAAGGCCATAAATGCGTATATATTTAATTTCATTTTATCAAATACTTTCCCAACGAACACAATTGTCAGTATTTTTGTAAATAGTTGTATGTAAATAGTTGAATGTTCCATGAAAGCATCTAAACATGAAAAAAAATTATAACGCAGATTTAATTACAAAACGATGGGGATTTCTACCATGAAATATAAACCACGTCTACAAAAATTAATAACACTTAATAGTTAATACCTGATTTTCATATCTACAAACATATTAATACTTTAACATCTGTTGATATTCAATTATCCACACTAGCAATAATATCGATAGCAGATTTGCCGGCGAATTCAAAAGTCCACTTTAGAAACAATTCCAAAGACGTATAGGTATTTCTAATGCAATTCCAAAATTTCAAGAACGTGTTGACTAGTTTGATGAACGTTCATTGCTGGAAACCCTCATACCATCAGGTAAATTATAATTAGCGTTTCTTATTTATTTATAGGAGGGCTTGTTCACGTTTAATTGTTTCCGCTAACTATATTATTGACGTACGATAGTACAGTTATGAGAAGCAACAAATCCTAAAGCATATGGATAAAGTTTAGCTAAAATAAAGTTTATATTGATTATATTTGGCCGAGAACGCATGTCCACTTAAAATCGATACTGTCCAGGATCGAAATAGCATAACAGCTCTAAAAAAAATTAAATTATTTCGGTTAAAACTATTTTGTACTAGATACAAAATTAATCACAAATGGATTTGCAAAGGTATATATATATTACATTTGCCTATAACATCAGATGTTTATCTCTGAAAAAAAAAATATGGTAATATTAACATTTAGTTTGGGAAGTTAATATTCACAGTTTATTATTTATAGGGCGTGTCAACGTTCATCAGCTGCTATATCATTCTTTAAAGATGTATGGTGCATTTGATCAACTCACTTAGATCCTACCTGTATATTGTAATATCTGCAAGGTTTGAAGTATGTGGAACGCATATACATATGTATAACAGCTGTAAAATAACCATTTGTATTCTGGGTCCAGAACTGTATGGGTAACAATTGGTTTAGAATACATACATATACCTAGCAATTTTGTGTCTTTTGGATTGCAATAGAACGTTTGTTGAATGAGCCTACATATATGTATTAAGTTTTTCGTAGGATCTACGTAGACTGTGTTTTAAGTCTTGCGCCTGTGCAACATTAAGTATTGCCAGATAAATTTTGACATTTCTGTTCAAAAATTTGACTCACTTATTGTGTTTACATCGATTCTAAACTGTCTTTACGAAAAAATAGAATTAAATAATGAACATTTTTGTGCGATGATTTTTTACGATTTATGACGCGGATTAACCAGAAAATAATGCATCGATAAAACAAACTTAGTCAAACTCTAGTTTGACATTTGGTGATGAAACAACACACCCAGCGACTGCAAATCGCTGGTTTCATAAATTCGAGCGTGGTCGTCGTTTTCTCTACGAGGATTTTCGTAAAGGTCTTCATAAAGAATGGCTGTTGTAATAAAGAGCATCGATACAGTGCAAGAAATAATTGAAATAAATCAGCATGTTACATACCTCTAGATAGAGGCGTGCTTGGGCATTAATGGGATCAGCATACATTCTATTTTACATTTACATTTAACTTTGAGAAATATTTGTTCCCGCTGAATTCCCTATATTTCCACAATCACTTCAAAGAGGGCACGTTTTGATTGATGCAAGTAAATGCTTAACAAAATACGAGCGAGGCAGTTCAAAACACGTCTACGACGACATCTTGACAGGTAACGAATCATGAATCTACGCCTATGAGCCCGAAACAAAACAGCAATACACTGTAAAAATCCAAGCAAATGATCGCATATTTTATCAGAAAAACCAGCCATTTCACAACTATACCATTTAATCAATGTAGAACGGTCAATTCAAAGGATTGACTGTTCTATTGGGACTCAAACATGGGCGTAACTAAGGACGGTCATATGGGACGGAGTTGCCCCCTTTCTTTAAAATTATGTCGAAAATAATATTTCAAATTTAATTAAATTAGAGTTATTCTGTTGTTATCTATGAAGATATGTTATTAAATATTAATTTAAGAAGACAATTTTCAATTACAAAAATTGTTCCTTGGCCCCCTGTTTCGATTTCTGACTACGTTTATGACTCCTGTACAATATGAATAACATTTGGCTCAAATATCATAACAACTGTAGTAAAACCAACTTAAATTGGGGTTCACAAAATTAAATAAAATGACTAGGGTGTCTTCTTTCTTTATTGAAGTTTTGAGACAACTCTGTCAACACCATGGATAATATAGATAATAACTGTTGATTGAATAATATAATTGAACACTACATAATTGATTGCATACAGATCCGTCTGTCCGTTTTATTAGCTGGTAGTAGACTAGATATGGAACTACATTATGAAGGATTTTTTTTACAATATAATAAACTTAAATTTAGGAAAATACTATTAATTTTTATAAATTTTCAATAATTGTTTTGATGACTAAGGAACAAAATTATTAATATTATAAAATAAAACATGTTTAATTTTTTTCTAGATATTAATACTACGCTTTTATTTGTAATTTATAAAATTTTCTAAATATTTTTATTATTAATAATATATCAGAGGAGAGCAACTTTCTATTAATGTTTTTAATGGCTTTAGGTTATATGGTATACGAAATATACAACCTAATTGCACATGAATGCTTGTTATTGGAATCATATAGTAAGAAGCATTTAGTCGTTTAACAGCAGTATATTGTTATATATTGTTGAGAATCGCTTGGCTTTCGATTACCATTAAAAAGACGGTTCTGTTGTTGGTTTGTTTTCTCTAGCGAAGGATAAACCTAGATCGTAGATGGTAACGATAACTGATTGATACCGGTTATTCTTTTTGAATTCGAAATGAAGCCCTGCTTTTTAAAGGGCGGAGTGTATTTGGTTGTCTGTACAAATGTGTGTTGTCGAGACGTAAACCCTGATGACCCTATAACCATTCTGGCACATAACTCATCCGTTCTTAGAACATTGTTTCTTTTTAAGATTGTTGGTTTATAGTTCTTCTGGAGCCTAACAAATTTGTATATGTTCTCACATCTCCAAAGGATATGTTAACAAACAAATTAAATATTATGTAAACAAAATTATTAAATCATTAAATTTTAATAAAAAAAATATATTATAATACTATCCTCTGAACAAAGCTAAAATTTCAAGAACTCATATACAACCGAAGGCCTATGTAGTTATTGCTGTATGTTAAAATTTATTTTTAAATTATAAAGAAATTTTTTTTGATATTTGAAATATACATATATATATGTATGCATAATATAAATTGCAGTTACTAGAACACAAATTTTTTAAAATTTGTTTAAAAGCTGTTTAAAAAGAAAGACATTAATTATTTCCTTGATAAATTATGTTTTCCACTATTATTTCTTCGTAGAAAAAATTAATAATTTAATCATTTACATGACCGCATTTTTTTTGTTTTTTTGTGAATGTCAAAACTATATTAAATAATATTTAACTCATATTTAAAAAGACTAATGGTAATTTTTATAATCGCTTTATGGTAAGGAAATTTTCTTAATCAAAATTTAAATACATTTAAAATATTTTAGAAATTAATTCTTCAATAATTAATATATCAAATATACAATTATATTAATTTCTTACGGAATTTATAACATTCTTCTTAAAAGAGCTTTTTTGTTACATTATTTCAAATTGTTATATACATTCCAAAAAAAAAACATATTTTCAAAAAAATTTATATTCCTTCACTAATTTTTATGTAAATAGTATTTAAATAAGTTTTGTTTTTTTTTGGTAATATTAATATATGCATACATACATATGCAAGAAATAAATAATATATTCATAATTTATAAATATTTATGTATTTATATCCGTATATATTTACTATAAACACATATACTTATTATATATGTATATTAGTCTTGTATTTAAAAGTTTAAATTATTTTGTATATTTAATAACATAAAACAAATTATTTATATTTATTAGAGAAAAGCCGAGCACTATTGACCAAAATATCATATAAATATATTGGAAATTGAATTGTTGCTTTTCCCAATTTTTAAAACAAAACAAATTATTTTTGCACAAAATGTTATGAAATTGGATCAAAAAACAAAAAAACTAATTTTAACAATCAAAAATTAGTGAAAGAATGTATGAACTATGCATACGAACCAAGTAATACTTAGAAGACTATAACCAAAACAAACTATAATAAATAAAAAACATAAAAAAGAGAAACAGTTATTTCAAATTAACAAAAAAAGAAAACATTTCAAAAATTAAGTCTATTAAGTTTATATTGACTTCCTTCGGCTTTTCTTTTTCGATTCCGATATCGGAGGACTACATTGGGTGCCGCGTGACATGGGTGCCGCTATACATTGGACATCAGTAACATTGGCCACGTCAGGCACTTCATTATTATTCACTTCCATATCACTGAAGTCACATAATTGTGATAGTCCGCTTATATTGGATAACTCCACCTGAGAGAGTACAAAAAAACCAAATATAAAAAAAATTTACATATTAATAAAATATATTTGTTTATATAGATTTAGCCGACAATTAAAATGGTTATTAAATGATTATAAATTGAAAGAAACAAGTCAATTAACGAAGAGTTATCAAAAATGTTATTCTATTATATTTGAAGTAGACACTTACCTCGCTTTCTCCCGCAACTTCATTAAATGTATTTAAGAAATTGCATTCGAGATCTGCAAAATCTATCATGTTTGGAGTTTCTTGCATAATGGGTTCCGTTTGTACCGCAACATCATTTGTTTGTACTGATGACCTCTTAGATATCTTCCATAATGGTTCTTCACTAGGTAAATCAGTTTGGTCGTGCATTGTGTACCTTCGCTTTGTTAACCGCTGGGAAGAGAGCCTCAATTTCTCTTTCCGAAGTATTTCGTTTTCTTCAAATATGATATTTAAATCATTTACATTCTCCATGATATCATCTGGTGAACCCAAGAAATAATTAAATATTTTAAGACGGTAACGTTCCTCAAATCCTTCACCACTAACACAAACTATCACATCATCGCTGAGAAATTGTAAGATATGCTTTCTTAAAAGAGAACAGCGTCGCGTTGTCAAACTTATATGAGTCAACTCCTCCACTTTTTGCAATATATCTTCCATAGTGGAACCCTCGTGAACTCCATATAACGCATTCAATGCATTTTGTAACATTTCCAAAGTACTTGGAATACGCGGCATTTTTATTTTCTAGAGATAATTGTTTCAATATAATAATATACATACATATGTATATATTTAAATAAATTATTAGAAGAAACTATTCTAAGTACTTACTTGTTCTTACTTGATCGGCTTTATATTCAAATCTTCAATTAAATTAAGATTGAAATATATTAAAATTTTATAAAACTGCCAAAATCCATATCAGTCAACAACTTAACGAAAATTGAATAACGGTAGTTACTGTATGGAATTTTAAATTGGCGCATTGAGCCCTGCAATACACAGTGGGACAAGTCAATAACAAAATCTCCATTTTGTTCAGAGTTGCCTTTGGAAGTAGTGTTTATTTTATTTGTTCTTTTGCGACATGCTTAAAAAGGAAAGGCCTAATATAAATTTTATAAAATCTAATTACATAAAACATATGTTTTTTATGTTGTTTTTATTTTTAATTCATAAGTTATTAATGTTATTATTAGCTATTAGTTAAAATAAAACTTACTGAAAATTATAACTAAACATCGATTTATTTCTTTTCCATTTGGATTGTGGTTAAGGGGCTTGTTTTGAAGCCCCTTGTTGTCTTCTCAGAACTAACATACTGACCATTTTTTGACAATCCTCTTCCCAAAATTTTTGCATTCTTTTCTAAAATAGCAATATAGTTCAATTTTGTTTTTTTATATAATAATATTTACTGACCGTACTTACCAAATTCCAGCACTTCCTTTGGTCATGTAATTATTGAAGACTTGTTGATTTTGAATAATTTGAAATTTTTTGTCTTGCAGCTATTTTTGTCTTGATATTGTGAACAATATCACAAATATTATATACTAAATTATTTAAATTTTTCTGCGTTTAAAATTTTTAAGCTGAACAATTCTTATTTTTAATATGTTTCTTGTTTTTGTTTATAAAATAATGTATGTAATACCCACAATGATTAAAACATAATACATTAAATTAACCATTATATTAAGTATTTGTTTTGACAATTTCTTATAATTAAAAAAATATTGCAATAAAGACAATAATGAATACTTCAATTTAAGTATTTGACACTCTGAATGACATCTTCTATAACTTGCGTAGTGACTTTTTAATGATAAAAAGATGTTATAACTTGACTTTTATTTCGTCATATTTAGTAAAATAATATAGTAATTGAAAAATTCACTTATACATTATTATTGATATTGAATTACATATTTTATTAATTCCATGGATTTTTTTAATTCAACAATACTATCTCTTTGTAATATAAATTTTTCCACCTCTTATTGATTAAATTGATCCACTGTGCCAAAAATACCATTATAAAAAAACAATAATAGCTTCAAATATGTTATTCGTTAAGCATGCTGCCATCCAAAGTGGCTGTATTATAACTGCCATACCAAACCTATCAATTTTTAATTGTATTCTCAATTATTTAAACATGGGTACTTAATGGTATCTTGTAATCTATTTACTTAACACAATTAATTTATTAATTTATTACAAAGTTAATTACAAAGTCACAGTCCGATTTTACAGAAAAATTCGACAACTAATACAACGATTCAATTATAATTTATAAAAAGCCGGGACAGGTTCAGTTAGTTGGTGAACCAGGGATCAGGAACTAGGGACCAATCTAAATTTTTGGATCTTCTCGAGTCCTAAACCATTCTCACAAAGTAATAATTTACATTCTGTTTAATGCTAAAAGCTGCATATGGCATATCCAGAGATAGCTGAGATTTTCAACCAATGATTTTTAAAAGCTGTTATTAACATTCTGATCAAACTTACAACACGTTTACATTGTGTGATTAAGTAAACAAGATTAAGAATGTCTGCATTTTTATTCTACACCATTTATACTATGGATTGGAAATTAATTTGACATTTCTTTTGTTTTGCCTTTTAAGTGTGTTTGAAAAAATTTTGAAGAATCTATGAATTAATAATGAGTGGAAAAATTGTTTCATATAAAAACATATCTGATATGAATACTATTTCTTTTATTAAAAAATGTTTTAAAACGCTGAGATTCTGGAATTATGTATTATGATTTATTTTTAATTTTAAATAATTAAATTCTTAGAATAAATTTTTACGTTTCTGTTTTCTGTGTTAGAACGAATTCTTCTTATTTATGTTTGCGACAACATCTTTCCAACATTCATTAATAATAGACTAAAAACAATTTCTACGTATTGCCATTTAGCTAAATATTTTTATCTGGTAACACCATCAAATAAAAACTGTTTTAAATTTGTGTTTATAAATTTTTGAATATGTGCATTGAAAACAACTGTCATTAATAATATCTTTAAATATTGAAAAAAAAAATTTCTTCGGTAGATATAAGGTGTCTGTGCGAGAAACTCACAGCACTCGATTTCATTGACTTGTCCCACTGTGTATTGCAGGGCTCAATGCGCCAATTTAAAATTCCATACAGTAACTACCGTTATTCAATTTTCGTTAAGTTGTTGACTGATATGGATTTTGGCAGTTTTATAAAATTTTAATATATTTCAATCTTAATTTAATTGAAGATTTGAATATAAAGCCGATCAAGTAAGTGTCTACTTCAAATATAATAGAATAACATTTTTGATAACTCTTCGTTAATTGACTTGTTCCTTTCAATTTATAATCATTTAATAACCATTTTAATTGTCGGCTAAATCTATATAAACAAATATATTTTATTGATATGTTAATTTTTTTTATTTTTGGTTTTTTTGTACTCTCTCAGGTGGAGTTATCCAATATAAGCGGACTATCACCATTATGTGACTTCAGTGATATGGAAGTGAATAATAATGAAGTGCCTGACGTGGCCAATGTTACTGATTTGCAATGTATAGCGGCACCCATGTCACGCGGTACCCAATGTAGTCCTTCGATATCGGAATCGAAAAAGAAAAGCCGAAGAAAGTCAATATAAACTTAATAGACTTAATTTTTGAAATGTTGTCTTTTTTTGTTAATTTGAAATAACTGTTTCTCTTTTTTTATGTTTTTTATTTGTTATAGTTTGTTTTGGTTATAGTCTTCTAAGTATTACTTGGTTCGTATGCATAGTTCATACATTCTTTCACTAATTTTTGATTGTTAAAATTAGTTTTTTTTGTTTTTTGATCCAATTTCATAACATTTTGTGCAAAAATAATTTGTTTTAAAAATTGGGAAAAGCAACAATTCAATTTCCAATATATTTATATGATATTTTGGTCAATAGTGCTCGGCTTTTCTCTAATAAATATAAATAATTTGTTTTATGTTATTAAATATACAAAATAATTTAAACTTTTAAATACAAGACTAATATACATATATAATAAGTATATGTGTTTATAGTAAATATATACGGATATAAATACATAAATATTTATAAATTATGAATATATTATTTATTTCTTGCATATGTATGTATGCATATATTGATATTACCAAAAAAAAAACAAAACTTATTTAAATACTATTTACATAAAAATTAGTGAAGGAATATAAATTTTTTTGAAAATATGTTTTTTTTTGGAATGTATATAACAATTTAAAATAATGTAACAAAAAAGCTCTTTTAAGAAGAATGTTATAAATTCCGTAAGAAATTAATATAATTGTATATTTGATATATTAATTATTGAAGAATTAATTTCTAAAATATTTTAAATGTATTTAAATTTTGATTAAGAAAATTTCCTTACCATAAAGCGATTATAAAAATTACCAGTCTTTTTATATATGAGTTAAATATTATTTAATATAGTTTTGACATT